GGTACTAAATAACTTTGATCAGTATGGTAAGTCAAACTATATTTTTGAGGAAAATTTTAATTGAATAGGCTCGATTCAAGTTTAATAATTCATGATCCGATTTTCTCAAGTGCAGCCTAACATATACGGAAACTCTGTTTTAAATAATAAAATCTTATCTTTTCTTACCACATTGGCTTGGATCGTTTAAATCTCGAAATTTATCTTTACCACATGAACAAATATGTTTATCTTTTCGTGCTTCACATATTAATGGCTTAGGACATAAACCATCCACATCTATAGCTTTATCTTGAGGAGTAATACGAGTACAAAGACCATATTCATATATATCATTTATCCAATCACGTTGAATTTTTACTAGAAAAAAAAATATATATATACATTTTTAATAGGATTTTCCTTTAAAATATCATTACCACATGATTGATCTTTAGTAATAAATTCATAACCAGGAGCACAAACACATAATTTATTATTAGTTTCATGTTCATTATTGCTTCCACTAGTACAATTATTTGTAAAATCATGTAAATTAAGATCATTTGAATTTGGAAATATAACCAAAGGTTTTCTATTTGATTCTTTTTCTTAAATATTAAAAATATTTCAAAATTAATATATATTCTTCATTATCTACATACCACATGCATTATTTTTTTTAATATAACCAAAACGACACCAACATGTTATTTGATCAGCAGCTTGTATACATGCTGCATTAATATCTTGACATGAACCACATTCACCATAATTAGATACTGATGAATCTAATGGTGATAATAATGTACCGAGAATTCGTTCTATTAAAACGAAAAATTATATCAAACAAAAAAAATCTTTTGTTTTTTTTTGAAATTATTTACCACATTGTTCATGCTTATCGTCAACTTTATATCCATATGGACATTTACAAAATTTAGTTGTTACATTTTGTGGACCAGCAATACATTTTGCAACAATATCTATACATGAATTATCATCGACACAAAGTGCCTGTTCTCTATTTGCATCAGACCAATTATTATAGATTTTAACCAATTTTCGTTCTAGAAAATAAATAAATAAATAAATATCATATTTATTTTACAAAAGCTATTAACACAATATCCCTACGGAATTAAAAGATGTAATTGTTGTTACTAATCATACAAAAATTGTTTTATTCTATCTTTTTACTTAATTCTCAACAAAATGTAATAAGACCGTAGGTCTGATATTATCAAGAAACGTTGTTGACATACAGTCTGTGATCGTATATCAACAATGTTTGTGGAGAGAGATTCAAATTTTTACCTCTATGCTTCAATATTTCTTTTAAGTCATGTTTCATAAAACTAATTAATAAAAAAAAGAAAATACATACTACAATATGCTTGATTATCAGGATTTTCATAACCAGGAGCACATACACATCGTGAATTTGAACAATGTTGTGACCAACATTCTGTATGACTTGCACAAACACTATTCAAATTTTTAACTAAAATAAATGATGATTCTTTTTTGTTTTTTTTTTTTTCAAAAATCATTTAAAAAAAAAGCAAATTTCAACATACAACAAAGTCCATTTTTAGCTGTATAATCTTGAATACATTTACATCTTTTTTCGGAACAAATTGTATTCTCTATACAATTTTCGTTTACTTCACAATGTTCACCTTCGTAAGCAGAACGATTATTTATTTCTAAAAAATAATAAATTAAATTTTTTTTTCTTTTTTGTTAAAATTACTTACCACATCTTGATTTACATGGTACATATGCTGGAGAATTACATTGACATTTTCCGCCCAAACAATGAATGTTAGGTCCTTCACATTGTGTATCATCCTGACAATTACCATCCAATTGAACTAAATTTATAATTGATGATAGATAGAGAAACAATGAAACAAAAAATTTACCAGCAATTGTTAATGAGATTGAAAGAATTAAAATATAACCGTATAGAAACGATCTCATTTTTAATACTAAAATTTCAAAGATATAAAAAGAAGTTCTTCTATTTTAGAACAAAAAAAATATAGAAATATAATGAAAATTATTTTCTTCTTCTTTTATAACTACACATATTCGATTACAATAAATCAACTATAGAGCTATCAAATCACCTCTATTTGACGTCGTTTTCTATTTTTGTTGTTACTCAACATAAGTAATTTGAAGAAATTATTCATCAAATGTCTCGTTGTTGTTCTTCTACGCAAAAAAAAGAATCATCAAATACTAAGTAATTACTTAGTTTTTGTTTCGAAAAATATGATTCTTTTATATATACATATCATATTTGATATGTATATACATATATAGAAGAGTCTCGTTTTCATTTCAATGTAGAAAAACGTGTTGCAAGTAATTTTATCTTTTTGTTATTGATCTGATTAAGTATTTTATTACGTAAAGAAATCTACAACTGACTTATTCAAAAAATTTAATTAATTTTTTTTCTCATGCCATCTTTTGTTATACGAGTCAAGAAAATTTTGTTTATTATCGATATTGATACGAGAAAGTAAAAAGATATCTATATTTATATTAAAGCCGACATGTTAAATGTAATTTTATCTAGATGAAACTTTAGAAATAATTGTCAAACTTTGATAATGAGTTAAGCTATTTCATAGATTCAATTTTTATTATAATTAACTTCCATTGCTCAATAATATAGTTTGTTACTAAAATTGGTTAGTACCAATCAACATTTGACGCTTAAAAGATATAACTTCTACAGCATACATAAGATATTGATGAAGCTTTGCATAGATGTTTGGTTCATGGAAATACATTGATTTAAAAACATTTCACATCTTCATACCTTATCGTTCAGGAAATTTTTAAGAACCAAGCTGCAAAACAAGGCTTTTACGCGTACAAATTTTTTATCAATATATTTCAAGCTGCAGAGTTTGGGTTGTTTTCATTTGAGAGAGAATTTCTTACCACTTCGAATGACGAAAAGGATTCTTTTTTTGGTTTTTATTCTATTTCATTTTTTCGATCATCGAAATTTTAAAAGTCTGGAATTTCTCAGTATGGTTTTCTGGAAAACTGAGGATTTTTCTAGTATTGATGATTAATCAGGAAATTTCTTTCCTTTATCTGAAGGACTACACATATATTTATCAATTAAAAAAAAATACAGTTCTCTAGCATGAAGTATATGGAGAAAAACACAAGAGTTTTTTTTATATTACTTAAAATGGGGATGAAGCATAAATATATTACATGTCAATTGCAATACTTGTCTATATATATTAGAGTAGATTGTCCTCGTACGAGATACATCACAATAGATGATACTACCTACCATCGCTTTAATATTTATTATACCATTCACAAAACATAATAAAGATAAGCGAATAGCAAATTAATTATTTTTATTTGTTTGCTGCCTTACAGGTTTTTTTTGAAGACTAATAATGATGGTTAATTTTTATTAGTAATTCATAAGAAATAGGATATTTTATTTAATATAAAACATCCATGAGGTGCCTAATTCGAGTTCGAATATAAATGAAGAACAAATTGTCTCTTATTACTTCGCATATAAATGAAAAAGAAACGGCATTTATGTTCAAATAGCAAAAAACAAAAAGAAAAAGATAAATTTTTATTTCAAAACAGAATCCCTGTTGAAGCAACAAAAAAACCCAAATGATGAGAATTGTAATCTAAATTCTGATTATAATGGCGATCATTACTATTCTCACCTTAAATCTTGCAGCAAACGTCAGATATATTACAGTAGGAATAGGTGATGATACACCGAGAAAACACATTTGCCTGCGTAACTGATCTTTTATTTCAGCATCGTGACGTGGCTTTGTTCGTTATAATTAATGTCAAATATATATACATATGATGCATATTGTCATAATTATTTTATTCTATTTTGTGATCCACATAGCAGCATGCCATCATTATCAAACAGTGAAAGATTATTTTATGGACGTAAGGAACTTATGCATATATTTGTAAAAATTTCTGTTAACACAAACTCTTGATTTTCAAGATATACAAAACATTCATCAGTATGACTATTGAAAAACTTGAAAGAGGATTCAGTAAACATTAAAAAATGTTTATGACTATCGCGAAGTTAATTCCGTCATATATTGTCAATACTCAATTTTTTGATATTTCAACATTGTTCAATCATTATACAGATGATTTACAAATCGATGACACAAATATTCACAAAGCTGAATTCATTCGACACCTGAAAATTGACGATCCTAAAAATGCAAGAATCCGAACAATCAAACACAATCAATGAATCATTAAAAATGATGCAACCTGTTAAATTCTTTTACCCTAATATTTATATCCTATTTCAGCTATACGCACTTATTTCAGTGGTAATAGCTAGTACTGAGCGTTCATTTTCTATTATAAAGTTAATTAAAAACATATTTGTGGAATCGAATAAGTGTCGAATGTTTAAATGATTTAGCTAGCATCATCAATATTCATAAAAATATCGCTCAAGAATAAAATATCAAAAATGTTATCAATGAATTTGTAAAATCAAAACATAGATTAAATTTTACAGATGAGTTTAATTAATATGTCTTTTTTTATTATTTATTCTTTTTTGTTTTTCTATTTCTTAATTGTACAGTGTAATAATCAACAATTGATAAAGATGAATAAAAATAAATTGCGATATATTCCATCATGTACATATACAATAAAAAGTTCTATCGAAAATGGAAACAAAAAACTTTGATTCCCCTCTTTCCATCGAAAAATCCTTGTATTTGTGTCTATCTATAAATTTAGATTATTTGATAAACTTCATAAGATAGTTTTAAATCTAGCTAATATTTCTCAAAGTTATCTGTTCATTATATTTTATCTATTTATGATTAAAAAAAAGATGAATAAATTCCTTTCTTTTATTTTTAACTATCCCATCATTTTATTAATCAAAAGAAGAAAAAAAAGACACATATCGTTGATGTGTACTATATAATACTGAATATAATTGAATACGTTTATTTATGAGCATAGACAGCATTTGCATTATCGGGAGAATTTGGAACACCTGTACCAGCTCCTGATCGATATGAACCAATCTAAATATACAAATTCTTATAAATTTAAAACATATTTATCAAAATTCTACTTGTGAATTTTCAATATTTGCATTAAGACTTTGAATATGATTTGAATTATGTACTGTATTATAATCCGATCGAAAGTAACCACCAAAACGTAAAGCTTGATGAAATACATGAAAATCATCATGTACTTGAATACCAAGTCTTGGAAGCCATTCAGCTGGAAAATATTGAGCATGTAATAATGAATAACCAAGTTTTGTTAAATGACCACTATATGTTGCATAACCAGCTGAAACAAACAAATTCATTGACGGTGTACCAGTACATGGCCATAAATTTAAATTACGAAAATTGTCAATTGTAAAATAACCTTTTGTTAGAGCATAATAAGCAGCACTAGTTAAGAAATAACTATGTGGTTGTAAATAACCAACATGTGCAAGATCATTAATAACACTTGGTATTTGTGTTTGTGTTTGTGTTTGTGTTTGTGTTTGTGTTTGTGTTTGTTGTGGTTCTTGGTAATCATATTCAGAAGGTTGAGTTTGAGCATCAGCACCAAATGGGAAAACACCAATTTTCTGATAAGTACCTTGTGAAACAACGCCTACTCGAAGAGCAGCTAAACCAACAGGTGTTAAAATATTTGATGAACCATATACATATTTAGCAGAGGCTAATTGTGGAATACTTATTTGTGAATTATCAGTTGATGGACAACCAAGTGAAGCTAAATCATTAGTTGATAAATAACGAATATGTATTGCTGAAATAGCAAGTGCTGTCGGTACACAATCATTTGTTAAATAACCAGCTTGAACAAGTGTATCTAATGAAAGTGTTGATGTTTGTAATGGATATAAATTTAATGATAGAAGTTGTGATGGTAAAACATGACCAGATATACTTGCTTGTGCACCTAAACCTGTAAGTAAATTTGTTTGACCATATGTATTAATATAACCAGCATTAAATAAACTATTTGTATCAATTGATTGTACAGGAACTAGATTAACTGTTGCGAGTTGTGGAAGTGTAATATGACCTAAATCAAGAGCTGAATATGCATTGGCTGTCAATAAATTTGTATTTGGTGCACACATGCCACCATTTTGAAGTGCTGGTAAAGAAATAGAATTATCAACGTATAATTTACGTTGTTGAACAGCAGTCATTGTTTGTTGAAGTTGTATACCACTTTGACTTATACTATTAGCAACAGCATCACAAGTATGCATTGCTGAAAAATCACATGCTGATGGACTGTTGATTGAATAAGCTGGAAGCATTGAATTTAATTGTCGTTTGTAAAGACGTTTTTCTATTCGTTTTTGACCATTATTGGATGATGATCCATGTTTCCATGCACCTATTTATATTTTATGTAGAAATAAAAATTTTTTATTGTTTTTAAAAATTTCATATGATTTTAATTTACCATAACTTTGAATAACCAAACCCAATAAAACAATGAGAGAGATAGTTGATATAAAACAATGCATGATGATTGTAAATGATGTGAAAACCTATAGATTTGATTCTGTTTATATACTTGACGATGTTGAAGGTCTTTTTTTTTTGTCATTGAGAATAATTTTATTTTAACAAATAAAATATTTTCAAATATCTACCAGATGTTATTTCTTTATTAGAATATGATTGTTTTTTTCAGACATAGACATACAATAATAGAAATTAAATTAAGAATATTCGAGAATATAAAACGATTTTTTTATTTCTATTTGAAATTTACGAAACATGAAATATGTTATTGATTAACGATTATATTTTTAATAAAAATAACATGTCTACTAATTATTACACGACATATTTGTTTTCTTTTTATATTTTGAATAAATTTTAATCAAAAAATTAATAATCAGATATCATATTGAATCAATAAAATTTAAGGTGTGTTATCATAAAAATGAATTTAAATGATGTTATATCTTTAGTCAATCTTCTTTGGTTATCGGTGACATATTTATACGTCATGAACGTTATCATTGTGTAAAACTAATGCAATCGTCTTTAATATATAATTGTTTTTTTTTCTTTTTATTCATGTTCTTTTCGTCGTATATTTTGAATGTTTGTTTTTATCGAAGGTCAAAGATATATATAAATATCCGTGCTTTCATAGGTTGTTCAGTTATGAGTTCGACATGTACAATGTGTTATGTAAAATTTTAGAATCGTAAAAGAACGATGGTTGTGCACAGGTAGTAGCGGCGCCAGAAATTCAGATATGGATGAGCTCAGCTCCACGCCAAATTTTCAAAAGCCTAACGTCCTGGAATTTTTTGCAAGTTTTTGAATTCGTCAAGAACGCTACTTGTTCTTAGTAAAAAATTCTATTATTCTTATCATTAATTGTAAATTTATCGTCTACAAACTCATTAGTCTGTCGGACATTGACTTTCAAAGATAGTTCTTGATTATCTTCATTTTTGAGGACCATTTTTTACAAATTACTCGTGAAACTACCATTCTTATAACACTTTTAATCGTTTGTAATATTTATAGTAATAAAATTGATTAGACGACAAAAAAAGAGTTGTTTTCAATTCAGAATTCGTCAACATTTTTTTTGCGTAGTTTCGACTCCAAAGAATATTCTTTGAGCGGTTTTGAATTTTTGAATCCAATGAAAGGTCTCTAATTTCACAATACGATATTTTATTTTGAAGTTTTGAGTATGGTTTTTAATAAACTATCGATATAAAACTAAAACAAACCTCTGCAACTCAGTAAGAATTATTCGGTAGCATCATCTGATTAAATATAACCGTTTCTTTGTAGCGCTTTTAAAGAAACTTTCGAAGGAGTACTCAGAAATTTTTTAGATGGACTCAACCAACATATTGATTCGAAATTTATTAATACTTTAGAAAATTAATTCAACGAATAACATCAGTAACTCTAATAAAAAAAAACTCTTTACTTTCAAAGTTCTGCGTACTGAGAATAGTCAACTGTTTTTGAAATGTACATGACTGACTATTATATAGATTTTTATATCCAACAAATCTTAAGTTATTTTGGTATAATAACTTCGAAATTAACTTAAAACAACATAGTTACAATAACACTTCTGCAAAAATCTTGTTTTTTTCTTATTCTTTTATCATTGACAGAAAAAAAAATTAATATTGCAGTAAGAAAAAACCAGTAATGATTGATTTTGTCACATAGTTAACCAAACAACATATAGATATTGTTGTCAAATTATATATTAATAAAAACAATAAGAAAAATAAATTCAATATACATTAGTTAATGAAGAGGAAAATAAAATACGAATAATATAGAAAATATGAATAAGATTTTATAGAAAAGAAATCGAACTATAACAAAAATAATCAGTTTTCATGTAGAGAGACATCCAGGATGCAGTAAGAATTAGAAAGTTTCTCTCAGTCATGCTACAGGTTATGAAGAAATTTTACATTGCTTATCTCTATTTTCAGACTATAGTAAACTACTCTTTACAGTATGATTATCAAGTCGAATCGATTTTTTTTCAACGATTAAATCGCTTTGTTTTGTCTTTGAATAGGTATGAAATAACTCGAATTTTCCCTAATCTATTTTTTATTAAATTATTATTATGAAATTTGAAAGTTAATGAAAATATCCATTTTAACGAATTATAATTATATAAAAGAAAAAGTTTCTATAATGACTTGAACAAATGTAATGTGATGATGTTCTTAAATCAAATATTTTTACTTGAGGTTTTTGAATGAATAAAATAAAATATATTTTAAACATACATTTTAGACAATGTCATATGAATGAAGTATGACACGATCAAAGTTGATAAGCTCTTTGTATCACATTTCTTTCTATGATCAAATAGAGAAAAAATGTAAGTGCAAATGAAATACGATTCTTTTATTATTAAAATAATTAATTTCAATAAAGTCTATTTAAAAACAAAAAAAAAATCAAAGATATTTGCCTATCATGGTGTATTTTATCAGTACACTTTTTATTATTATAGTAATATTCTATGACAATATAGCAAATGCAATAGATTTAAATTATCCAACCATCACTCAAGTTGGTTTTCATCATAATGCATTACTCTATATTGATGGAATTCATTCACCGGAAAAATTAATGTTATGGCTAACAGGTTCATATGAATCACTTGATTCTCATAAGGTTATTTTTGATACAATAACAATTCTTGCTGAAAAGACACCAACAAATTCTTTTACAGCATATTCAACAAATCAACAGGATTGGATATGGTTTCTTGAAATAAAACTATTTGGTTCAAATGGTATTCTATCAAATTTAACACAAGCTTTAAATCAATTAAATATAAAAAATCAAAAATTAAAAATTATTATTATGTTACCATATATAGATCCAATTGGACAAGAAAATTTTTCTTCAACATTAAATTTATCTATTCAAAATCATCGTCAACAAGTTATTCAATGGTATATTGATATTATTAAAGAACAAATAAAACAATATTCAATGTTACATTTATGGGGTATTTATCTTATGCGTGAAGATATTATTTTTGGTATAAATGAACAAATAACATTAGAAATAAGTCATATTATTCATACAAAACAATTACGTTTACTTTGGATTCCATATACAAGTGCAATTAATTGGAATAATTGGACAAAATTAGGTATTGATGTTGCTATTTTACAACCTGGTTATGCATTTTCATCTCCATTAATGCAAGGAACATTTAATGCTGGTCGATTACGTGCAACAGCTAAACTTGCTCAAAAATATGGTTTAGGTGTTGAAATTGAAACAAATCAAGGAGGTAGTACAGAATATGAAATAGCACTTTTACAAAATTATTTAGCACAAGGTTCTATTGATGGTTATCAATATGTACCGACTGCTTATTTTCTTGGTAATTATAATAGTATAGCTCGATCGAAAAAAGCATGTGATCTTCTTCGAAATTATACATCTGGTCTTCGAATTGAATCAACATTTATTTTAAATACAAAATGGTTTTGGACAATAAATGAAAATCTTCAAGCAACAATCAATATATCATCGAATATTATACCACAAGGTATTCGAATAAATTGGTCATTAAAACATAAATATTGGTTTGGTCGAGTTATAGTAGAAGGATTTATTATAATGGATAATAATTATACATGGAAATTATTGAGTAGTACTGAAATAGGTGAAAAAAATTGGCGTGATGAAGATTGGACAAGTACATTATTACCATTTTCATTATTATCATCACAAAAAATTCTATCACTTCGAGTTTTATTTCTTAATTCAATTTTTTTACCTTCACTTACTGATGAAGATCTTATTATTGAACAAATACCAAATGGTATTGCACTTCAAATAAGTACAGGTGCTCCATATCATATATCACCTTCAATGTTTTCTTACAATCCTCAATATGGTGATGCAATAAGTGAAACATTTTCAAATTTTAGTCGTGGTTTACTTACCGATAGACAATGGTCAGTTGATGAATGGCAATCAACAATGTCTATCGGTTGGTTAGATAATTCCTATTCTCATGCATATATACGTATTGCACTTGATTTTGGTAATATAATACATGTAGATCAAATTTTAGTTCGTTCACATGGTGGTTCATATGCAGGTGTTAATTGGCCTAATACGGCTCGTCTACTTATCAGTACTGATTGTATACCATTCTCACCGTATAGTTCATCTGATTGTACTGTAAAAAGTTATCCATGTACAGATCGTATTATAACTGGTGGTATAGATATGAATCAAGGTGGTATATTATCATTTACATTTTCAAATTCTCTTCGTTGGGCAACACTCGAATTTCAACCAAATGCTTGGCTTATGATTGATGAAATACAAGCATTTGTTAATGGACGTGAAATTTCAAATTTAATTAATTATTATTTTCTTACGCCACCAACATCACAAACAATATCATCCAGTATGAATAATTATCTTGATGATGGTGTTCGTCTTACTGATGGTGTTATAGCCGGTATGATGGGATCAATTACAGGATGGCTAAAAAGTGAACCACATACTATAACTATTGATTTATTAATAAATCGAAATATTCGTGAAACATCTGTTTGGACATTAATTAAACCTGATTGGGCTATAAGTCCACCAAGATTAGTAGTAGTTAGTGCAAGTTTAGATGGTATAACATGGATTTTATTTGGTGAACAAGGACAGATGCAAATAGGTGAACGTATGTTAGATGCTCAACGTTTATATATTACTAATGATAATACAAGTCTAGCTCGATATATTAAATTTGATTTTGTTAGTGATGAGTTATTTCCAGAATGGTGGACAATGTTATCTGAAGTAACAGCTACGGATTAATTTATTTTTGTTATTGTTTTATTTTTGTTTTTTGAAATAAAAACAATTAAGATTATATAAATTTAAACTGAAATATTTAGATGTTTCTTAATTCATCAATATATAAAAGAAAATTTCGTGGTATAATGTGTTATTGAATCTAAATTTTTCTTTTTTTTTTTTTTATTAATTAAATAATATTTAAAATTTCTTATTCTTTAGATTTTATTCAATAAGCAAACAAATATTATCTTTTAAAATAATAAATTGAAAAGCAGATAAATATAATTTTTAAATTTCTTGTATATATTTATTTAAATATAAATCAATAGTAGCTTTTATTTTGTTGAATTCATTCAAGAACTGGACTAGCATATGATTGTGTAGCATCAGCAATAGCATTTGAACATGTTTGATAACCATTATCTTCACTAATATCATTGCAAGGAAGAGAAAAACTTTGCATGGGATATTGAAGACTAACTGGATGATTTATTCGAATATTTAATTGATGAAAACCTGGTCCTGGTTGATTCATTATAACTGATTGATGAGATAATGTACGTGTCATTAAATCTCCAGTACAATCCGTAGCAGTTCGAAGAGTTTCTTGATGAAGTCTTGCATAATTAAGTATATGTAAAAATTTTGCCACAAATTTATTCCATTCTGGACTATTTGTATCAATATCACCATTTGAAGAATTTGGTACTGACATTTGATCAATAGCAGAAAGTTCAGTTTCATATTTATTAATCATATTTTTTGCAAAATTTTCAATTGTTTCACATACTTGTCGATGTAAATCAATATATTTTCGATAAGCTTCAATAATTAAATTAATACCCTTACGAAGTTCACCTTGAATATAAGCCCATTCTGTAACACTTTTTGTATTTTTTGAACCAGCTTCTGCCATTCGATCAGCAGCTAACATAATATTTCGAGTTAAAACTTTGACAATATCATCATCTTTTCGAATAGATTCTCGAACTGTATTTTCTAACTGTTGTTCATCACTAAAAATTTGATTTAATACACTTTGTGTTTCATTTTTGAATGGAGCATTTCGTATATAACGTTTTAGATTTTTAATTTGTATATTAAATTCATATGAATAATTTATTAATCCAAATATAATTAATAAATTAATCAATTGAAAATACAACATTTTACCAATTGTTTGTCTTATCGAAAAAACAAAAATAAAATAAAAATTTGTTTGATTTTTATTCTTATCTTACTTAGTTATATTGTGTACTAGTTCTAAAGACATAAAATATACTTTTTTGTTGTCATTTAATTCAGATCAGTTTAAAGTTAATGAAATAATCTAAATTAAATTACAATTGTATATCTACAATTTTTAGACAATGGTATCCAGTTGTTATTAATTTGAAACTGATTACAAAAGAAAAAGAAACGACAAGAATAAATGCAAGATACGAAAAATCCAAAATTCGAATGGATTTTTTTTTCTCGTTTATAAAAATTTGGTTTCATAGAACTTAACGAATTGATCAAGAATATATAGTGTTTATACACAGAAATTGTCAAATTTGAATTATGCTATTATTTTGTAACTTTTTATTCTGATTGATCATAAAAAATTCAGTAGGAAAAATTTTATTTGATTAGATTTAAAGTTAATAAAGTTTAAAAAATTCTGTCCAATATAGATAACTTCAACATGTCTTCTAGCATGTATTTGTGAGTATTATTGTAAGCACATCATCTCATTTTTGGCTTATTAATATACCATTCGATAGAACTTTTCGAGCTGATCATGAATATTTAGTTTTCATCTAAAAACAAATGAAAAACTTCAATAATTTTGGTCTTTCCAAAGACTACTATTATTCGTCCAACACAGTGTTTGTAATACTTACAATAACTCAATTCTAATGCATTTCTAAAGCTTGAAACTATATTTTTCTTACTCACCATTGAAGATTGCATATTGTAAACTATATTTGAAAGTTTTAGTTTGAAAAAAAAAGTTTTTCAGGACGAAATGGACTTGAGAAGGGCTCAAGCTCTCCGAACTTAATTTTTGTAAACCTATCTAGATTTTTAGTTGAAGAAATCTAATCATATGTCGTATATAATTACGATTGATATCTAAAGGAGAATAAAAGTATGTTCTTCTTTTTCCGAAATTCTTCGTTGTTCTTGAAATATTCGTTTCATATTGAAATTTGAATGGTCTTGTCCTAAAATCGATCAAGTCACATCTCGAAAGTTTTTTAATTTTTCATCCAAAATGGAAACTAACATGATATTCTGAATCAGCATCAAAAACTGAGTGGATCAGCCTATATTTCCCGAACACTGTTTTCATTGTCTAGTAATCTGTCATTTCGATTCCTATTATCATTTTGGAAAATTAGGAACCTGATTCTCATTGTTGAAATGACATTTTGAAGAAATTCATTTTTTATAATTCCTGAGAGGGACCGAGAGTAAAGTTTTCGTCAAAAAAAAAAGTTTGTGAAAATATTTGAAATATAGATTGATCCAGTCAATTTTTGATGCTGATTCAGAATATCATGTTAGTTTCCATTTCGAATGAAAAATAAAAAAATTTTCGAGACGTGACTTACATTTGTGATCAACTCGGAAAGTTCTATCGAATGGTATATGAATAAGCCAAAAATAAAGGGATGTAGAATCTTTGAATTTAGAGCACCTTAAGTCTATCTGTTTTTTTTTATAATAAGACATAGAAGCAAATATCTCATCTCATTAGAATCACCAGCTTGTGAACTACAAATGTGCTTATTTAATTTTTTTATTAGATTCTGTTTTATTGTTGAAATGGTACAGTTAAAAAGCGAAATAGATAGTATATTCAGAATTAACATGAAAAACTACATAGACTCATATATGTTTTGATACAAATTGCTTCCGACCGAAAATACGTATGTGGTTCCCCTCAGGTCTATTTTTCTGAAATTTTGCCCTAGTCCTCCAGAGATCGATTTTTCAAAGAAAAAAAGAAATTCTTATAGCATATATAATTCGTTGTTGTTTTTTATGGTAATTCCGAATATGCTATCTATTTTATTTATTAATTGTATCATGATAAATAAAAGTCATGAACAAGATAAGACAGTTGCTTCTATCTCTGGTTATAACAAAACTGGATAGGTTTCACAAGAATATTCACAAATACGTGCTATATTTTTTAAATCTTATTAACTTTAAATCTAATCAAATAAAATTTTTACTACTCGAGTTTTTATGCTCAATCAGAATAAGATGTTTTGATAAAGTTTCATTCGATTTTTTTTTTGCTTTTTTTCATATCGTATTACTTAAATTTTAACTAACAAGATTTCATAGAAAAATAGAAATAAAAATATTAATTTGAAAGTATTTGCTATCAATTGTAACTTTTCAGAAGAAATACATTTTAAAATAATATACAACTAGTAAATGATTTAACTAGCAGATTGTCATGTAATAACTTTTCGTTTGTTTTATTTCTTCATATCACTGCATAAGCTATTGAAATAGATTTTATAGCTAATAAAAAAAAAGATAAGCAACTATTCGATGACTTAAATAACTGCTTCATTTGTAAGAACATTTATTTTATTGATCTTCATTATGTTACCAGCAATATTAAAAAATTATTATAGCTACTTAAAAGATTTGATAACTATTCAAAAAAAATATCTATAAACAGATATAAAATAGTTGATTTGCTTATGTAATCATTTCTATGCATTTCTGTTTCTTTATCTATGTTTTATTTATTTAGTGTATCATATTGTTGATGCATTTTTTTTTTCATCGTATGCATATAAAACTATTTTTACTGGAGGACGTATTTTTTTTACTGACATTGGATAACTGTTAGATTTATTTCGTTGTGTCATGGTCTAATATCTTTCTAATAAATTTTATTACTTTATACTTGAATGTCTGACATTGATTTATTGTTTTTTTTACGCTGAATGACAGTAGTATACATTTTCTATAAGAAAGGCATTAATCACTTCAAAGCTAATCATTGTTATATATATATATATTTATATATTGTATGCAACATTTATTTATTGTTCAATGCTAAGACACCATTTTAGAAACATTTCTAAAACTTTTCTTCATCCAATTTAATCTAAACAATCAATATTTAATTTCAGCAGTTTTCAATTCAATTTAAAGAATAATTCCAATAAATAAATAGCCAAATGATATTTAAATAGTTATGAATTATAGATAAAAGTTTGAATGACAAGGACAAAAAAATAAATAAATAAAACAACCATTGAAAAATTATCTTTTGTATCTTTTATTCTCGTTTGTTTACTACATTTGATGCAAAAGATTACCTTATCAGTTCTATATCATTTTGTTCTGATGATGATACTGACTGTCTATGTGCTACTGATCTTAATGATGCATTGAGTTCGTCTTCTTCAAAGTCATATATTGTCTTGAATGCGATTAAAAAATACAATTAGGATAATGTATCGATTTTGCAGAGTATTCTGTCCGATCTGATGAAGCAAGACAGGATAGGGTATGAAAATATCATCCTGTGAACATCTCTAATAGCTATTCACATAGAGAAAATTAACAAAAAATAAATAGCTATGAATACTTGCTAATACATAATGTTTCTCACTCGATTGATGAATAATTATGAAATTGTTTCGGTTTTTTTTCGATGTTCTAATAAAGAAAGTTTTTAGAATTCAATATTTCAATCAATTGTGATACATATTTATATATTGGTTTCTTTTGAATCAATCGATCGTATTCGTTGAAGGTTATGCTGAGAAAACAATGATTAATTTACCCTAATTAGAAATTGTATAGAATCAATAATTAATCACACAATTAAATAATTATTTTTTACTCGCTTCAGTGAATCGTATAAACACCATCGATTCAAATAGATTTTTTATCTAATGAGCAAAAAGAAAATATTTTACAAGGTTTGCTTCAAGGCGATCACCTTCGTCTAGTTTTGTTTTTTCTTTAGTTCGATAATTTTCAAAGTTTTCGAAAACACAAAAAATTTCTTTCGTTCTTTCAATTCTTATAAATTATTTTTCATGAAAAACATTAGTCTCTTCCCTTCTCCATTTCAATCATTTCAAGGACTCTGCACCTTGTCTGTAAGAGTTCATGAATCATTTATTTTTCTTGACGAAGTGCGCTCTCATTTGAGACTTTTATCTATTGGTCTTAGTATATTTACCAATGACGTCCTGTTATTACTGCATCACCTGTCAATGAGAACGACCTGTTACCTATATACGCTTCATTTCGTTGAGTGTCTAACCACGTCTATCTTTTTTTCTCTTGTCTTCCGGTGATTATGACGTGTTTTGAATAAACATTTGTTATATTACATTATCTTCAACATTTAATCAATCACATGAATGTTCCGGTAAGATAACAAAAAAAAAATGTATATTCATACTGAATATAATTATAACTCACACTTGAACATGTCTAAGCTATCTATGACACTTAACATAGATTATATTCTTATGTTACTTTATACACATCAAATATAATATTAAAGATGCCCCTGGTTAAACTCTTACTAACAGTGAGGAATATAAGACGATGACAATAATCAGAGAAAAAAAGTAAATGTTATGCGCGACGTGTGTATGCATTTAATTCACAGCATGTGATGCTTCCCCTCTTAGCATTTTTTCACTATGTTCTGCTCATGTTCATGCCAATGAAAAAGAGAACATATATATATATATTGCTCGTTTGCTCTTTGATTAGGTATGTTCTCTCATTCTTTTACTATCGAAATAGATTAATGTGTCTGGTGTTGTTGAACATAGAAACATGCACCAAGTGTCGTCTCACTCTATGTAATCGATCTATTCATTTATTTTACATATTGTAGGTTGCTACTGAGCGTAAATCGTTTTTACCTTTACGATTACGGACAAATACACTTGTAGAATCTACTAGTATACCTATTATATCTCGTCAAACAACAGCTGTTACGACGTCAATGCCATTGGCTATACATAATGATGCGTGAGTTATTTGCTTATATGATACAAGAAAAAAAAAAACAAAAGTGACACTTATTTTGTTCATTTTTAGTAAATCATCATTTACAGTTGGCGATCGTGTATTAATAAATGGGCTTAAACGTGGAACACTGCGTTATAAAGGTGCAGTAAAATTTGCTCAAGGAGTATTTTGTGGTATTGAACTCGATGAACCCGATGGTAAACATGACGGACAAGTGAACAATATTCGGTATTTAGAATAAATAAAAATTTG